GGTTGCCAGCCCCACGTCCAACCCTCCCTCGTCACCGGGTCTTGACAGAGGCTGGAAAACTAGTAATCTAATTAACTAGGCGACGGTTTTGTGTGTTCAACCTGGTCCTAATTACTTGAGAAAAGTTCTAGTCTCCTACTCATTCGTAACAGTGATTCTGAAAAAGGTACATTATGATTTGGGACACGCCGGAATTAACGAAATGCCTCAGGCACTCGCCCAACGTTACAGGTGATATTGCCAACGGCGGGACTTACAGGACTTTGCCCAGGGGTGTGCAACATGTGGTAGGGTAGAGAACCCACAGTGCCACTTATTAACATGAAGGCTGGATAGCCCAACAAAGTAGTAGGCCTGGACATCATGGGACCGTTACGACAGACCACTGTTGAGAACTTAGTCATATTTAACTGCTTTATGAAGTGGTATGAAGCTGTTCTCCGTGAGCGAGCCGACGCTCCTACAGTAGCCAAAGCCAAGCTTGATTGTTGGATTGCCTGTTGTGGTGCACGGGAGCAACTGCATTGTGATCTAAGAGCAGACTTCGAAAGCCTCTTAGCCAGAGAGCTGTGTCGCCTATTCGGATTTAGGAGGTCAATAACCACAGCATACCGTCCTGAAAGCAATGCGTTAGTAGAGCTCACCAATATGACTTTGAAGGCACAGCTGCGACTATTTTTTGGTAAGAGAAATAAAACAAGCCCTGGGTACTCCATTGACACTATAGCTGTCGACCTACCAAGGAAGCACGCACATGTCGACGGAGAAGACGCCACACCTATTATAGACTGGTCGCGAGTTACGCCCGCCCAGTAATACACTGGTTGTGCCCTGATGGGATGACCTTTCGACCATATCGGAAATGGTAATAAGGATACGAGGAAGCATAGGTTTATACCATAGTAATGCATCCGAGTAACTCGAGGGAGCCAGGCAGCAGCAGAAATATTACTATGATAAGAAGCATTGGAACTGACTACCGGAGCCTGGATAACTTTCAAGCACACTGGGCAGGCTCCTATGTGGAGTATAGCAAAGTAAGCGGCAATACTTATGACATCCAAGAAGAAAACAGCAATAACGGAGATAACGGAAGCTCACTTCAACTGGTTGAAACGATTCAAACAAAGCTTACAGGAGCCAAGGACCAATAATCCTTGTATTGAGAGTCACGTCTCTCTCTTTTTCAGGGACGACACAAGACAGAAGTCGCTGGGGACAGCTTCCCAGAAGTGAGGGAGTCATATAAGGGTTTAGATTCTGAAAAAGTTGTTATTGCAAAATCCAGTGGCTGCTAAACAGTGATAGCCTAGCTCTTTTCTCCTTATTCTATTGAGACGGTTGTTATCTATAAAGCGTTTCAACCAAATCTGCGTTCTGATTTTCATTCAAATTCTGTCTCAGTGTGTTTGATATATCAATGTCTGCGCTATCTATTATAATCTGTATAGTCATGGTTGGCTGATTTCTTTCTTAGAATAAATATAAATGTCCAATAAACGTTGCATGTTGAAGCGGTAAACCAACGGTAGTCGCTACATTCCGGATTTGCATCCGTTAGAGTTTTAGGTTAGTTTTGATGACTGTGTAATATTTTGTGCTCTAGCCATGTTAACACTTAAAATTATGAATCAATAACGATGGAATGCTCCTAGATTTTACTTGACTTACTTGAATTATATACTTGGATACGGATTTTATTATAAATGCAGACAGTTACTCGCACTTTACAATATTGACAAGTTAGTGTATGGCGGATAACGCATTTCACACAATAGTCTTGTAGTTCACGTGGTTACGAGTTATCCAAATAAGATGAATCGATCTCAAGAATCAAGACTCTTACCCAGCTAGCATTTTTTTCGGGCGCATTGTAGACATTTTGGGGCAAAAACTTCGGGTAAATCTACTTACGTGGGACAGTGTCCCGAAGTCTGCCCCAAAAGGTGTGCAATTTTCCTTAAGTTTGCTCGGAAAAGTCTGAAATGCGCCCTAAGTGTGTCCCCTAAAAGTTTGTGATTTGCCCTGAGTCTGCAATGCGCCCGAAGTCTGCCGCAAAAAGTCTGCAATGAGCCCGAAAAAAATGCTAGCTGGGTAGTGTAAACGAATAATAAATAAAAGATATAATAAAGCTCCGTATGATCAAATTGGCAAAGATGTGATTGACTAAAAACTTAAACATGCCATGGGAATATTAACAATAATGTCTTCAAAATGGATAAATTTCAGCTTTTTCAACAAAACGTAACTAATTGTACGTCACTTATCTAGAATGATTTAGGACGTCGGTTTCCCTATCTAACCTGTAACGAAAGTTCGCACTTCTATAGACTTTCACACTATTCAGTCACAAATTTATTTGACTGCTCAGATATGACTATATCTTTCATGCTTATTTAGGTGATGTTCTTTGAAAGTGTATTTAAATTGTTTTGAGTATTTAAAGTAGCAATAAGTGGGGACTTATCAGCCTCATATTGTCTTGGTTATTGACTCACTGTATAAAGCACTGCACATCTATCGACCAGATCACTTCTATAGTGTAGAGTTTATTCTGTACTTATCTCTACAGGAAATCTTGTATGCAGTGGATGAGAACCGCTAAAAGTAGCGTTATGTTATGCGTAGTCTGTTGCTGTTTTCATGCTTATCATGCGAAAATTGAAATCCAAATGTTCGTTGTTTGAGTTCATACTGTTTAACTTGTTAACGAAGTATAAGATATAGGTGACAGAAGCTTAACACTCAGGTAAAATACTTTGGATTAGTTTAGAAAAACGGTGCTTTCTGGAGAGAAACACGTGTTTCGCTTAAAATTATTTGAGACCCTTAATGGCGGATAATATCCATAAACATAAAGTAAAGAATGTGACTAAGTAGAATTCATATGGAATTCAAGGCATTGATGGCTTACTCACTGGTCCAGCTCACTTAAATCTGTATTCAGTTATAACTCAGGAGCACTAAGCACTCTTATTTTATTTGCATGCTTAATTTTGACACTAAGCGCATTCGTTTTTTGATAATTGTTATTGTTGCCGTTCGTGGTTCTCCACTCCTCAATTTCAACCCGTTGCAACTATTATGAATACATAATTAGTGCACCAGGGATAGGGAGCACTCTTGCGGTTGCGTTACGGGATGAGGTTGCATATAGTTCTGGTTTCGCAAAACGCCGTACTTGGTTCTCCCGAAAACCAGTGCATAGTTTTTTAGTTAGTGGGTGTATCGCTATGAGAACCAGTAAATATACATTTTCGTCAGTTGTGGTGTTTTAAACTGTACCTAAACAATGCAGGAAAGAAAGTCAACTGCGTACTAATGATCAAGCTGGCTATCAGCTAAACAGTCGGTATCAGTTCAAGTTGTTAGACGTCTTGAAAGTGCAATTAAAGGTAGACAGAATAAATTCAGTCAAATGAATGAAAGTGTAGGCGAATATAAGTACATGAAGTATAATGAGAATTTTAGAAAACTGTTAGATCACACTAAGTTATTTCATCTACGAAACTAAAGACATCTTCAAGCCAGTTCAACACCAGCCTCCAATAATTGATTATTGGCATCCTAAGGACCGAAGGAAAGTGGTCTTCATCTCCTTGTCTAGCTTAAACCCATACTGAAAAACTTCCTACTGCTAGTAACTGTTTTCCAACTTAGATTTGTCTTTATTTAATTGAATTTTAGAGTTTCCTGTCGATTGATTGGACCGAAGTACTCGGTCTCAGGTTAACATATCGTCTTCTTGTGCAGATGTTTCGATGATGTCTGGTCGTGTAACTTGAAGTCAACTGGCGGATGGTGACTAGCAGTGGGAACATCATCACTCACTGCTGAATGCAGGTACATCCAGCTGAGGAGTCCAAAATAGGGAGAAATGCGCGTTATCCTGGATTCCACTGCTAGTCACCATCCACCAATTAGATGAGTTATTACCCAACATTGTCTGTGGTGGAAAGTAATGACTAGGCATACGTATCACATGTTGTAGACATCTCAATCTACCGAGCTGCGTAACTTCATCAGCTGACTCTCCCTCTCTACTTAACACAATATGCCTAGCCTCATTTTCAATAACCATATTGCTCCCTTTTTTACAGAGAAAATTGGACGAAGGCACCTTAAACTGCCATGCGTCGCCTGCGGATAAAGACAAAGCGAACCGTTTCATTTTATCTACTTTTTGTGGCAACTTGAACAGCTGCACTTTTGTGGGAAGTTCAGCTGCACACTGCACACATCCGTTGATAGTTGTTCGCTTGTCGCGCTAGTTGACAATACAGTTCGAGCCTTTTTGTATTTGTACTGAGATTATGTTAGTAATCATCCCATTGGGGCTAATTTAGCTTTCTAAATATATGAATTAGTCAATATGCACAGCTGTTTCTTGCTGTGGTTTAACACGTGACTCACTGGAATACCTAATCCAATCACAGTGCCAATATAATGGTAACTGCTTTTAGTCTCACTGTTAACTGTACGTCTCAACCAGCATAATTTGTTGGGGGCATAGCTATATATTGCGTCAAAGTAGCAGCTGTCAGTCAGAACAATGACACTTGGTTCCATGTTGGTGATTTAAGACTGTCGAGTTTTTATGAAAAGAAATTTTGATACTCATTTCACAATGCTTGTGTTCGTGATTGCTACGGTGATTTTAGCGCTATAGTCTTAATTTTCACCCGAATTAGTCTTCATATTATTTCGAACCCCAAGGTGTTGTCTACTAAGTCACTGGAGCCACGAGAGCCACCTCTTGTGCAGTGGATATCACTTATCTTTGGGATAACTTACCGGTTAATTGGTTAAATAAATCTGCTGAAGAAGCTGTGGCCTACACGGCGAAACGTTCAGAAAAATCTTGTTTTGATTTCTTAACACGCTGGGATTAATTTAAGTAATTTATAATGAATCAATCTGACTCGGCGCTCAAATTATTCCAGGAAGTTCGTAACACCTACGGTCTAGAGACCTATAACTTACTGGTTAGTTTGAAAAGTGTTCCAGTTGAGGTGAATATTTATTTTATCAGAAAGTAAATAGACATGCGTTTTTTTGAGGAAAATATGGGTTGACTGTTTATGTTGGCAGATTACAATATCCTGAATTATTCTTTATTAGGCTAGGCATATTTTATTAACATGAAATTATCTGATTATAAATTCTATAATTGCTTTGCTTCGAATTCCTGAGATATTATCGTTGGTATTCACCCACTGTATGTGTTTGACTTCTTCATTTAGTTATTACGCAATATTGGCAATCATTTACTTGCATCTATTAATGTTTAACTTCACTATACACTTCTTTTATTTCTAGATTAATGTAATACAATGTCATCTGATTCAAGTGATGTAAAAGATCTGATAACGAAAGCAGAAAAATGGTATGTATGATGTGTGTATACATGTTGTTTTCATTCATTCAATTTAGCTTGAAAACATCATTATTAAAACGTACTCCTGATTATGATGGTGCGATTGACTATTACAGTAAAGCAGCACTGATTTTCAGAAATCGTAAACAACTGAAAGAGGCTGCTGAAACGTATAAAAAGGTATGCATTGTTGGCGAGAGAGAGAAAAACTAATGGGTTAACATATAATACTGCTAGGTTGCTGAATTACACTTTAAACATGGATCTTACTTTCATTGTGCAAAAAATTATGAAACAGCATCTCTAATGTATCGTGATTTAAAGGATTTTTCACAAATGGCATCACTAATTGCTGAAGCAGGCCTATTATTACGTCGTAATGGTACACCTGACTCAGCCTCCTATGTTTATGAACGTGCTGCAAAGTATGCCATCCTTTCTGTTTTATATATGCATATCACAGATGTCTTGAAGAACCATTACCAGAAAAAGCTGCAGAATTTTATGAAAAATCTGCTGATGCCTGTGAGGTTAGTTTGTACGCAATAGTTTCGCATTTGATTAATGTTCACAGATAGAAGAGAAATTTCACGAGGCTGCATCACAAGCGAACAATGCTGCTCGTTTATGGGTTCGATTGAAACGTTTCAATGATGCTGAACGACTGCTTCGTCTATATATTGATTACATAACAAGAGGTCATTCAGATTCTTCTGCTAGCGTGGCTAGTGGTTTCAGTGATACAAATGCTGCTGCAAAACTATGCGGTCGTGCAGCAACTGTTCTTGTATTGATTAAATTGTATATGGAGGATGAAGTAGCAGCCAATAAAATTTTCAATGAAGCTGTTCAGTAAGAATGTGTACATTTTCGACTTTATACTTCAACCTGTATAAGTTATTATTATTATTATTATTATTAATAGAGTAACAGGGTACTCATCTTTAAACCACATGGTGGTTTTTTCTCACCGTAGATGTACTAATGGGCCTAACCCTAAGTGACCTCATCGACTTAGGAATTGACTTGTTACTAGGGGATAATTTCGTTGACTTAGAATATGCAGATGATATAGTCCTTCTAAGTGAAGACGCTGACAAAATACAGCAGAGTCTTCCCAACACCTTGAGCAGCTATCGATCTGAGAATGTTTGGCATGCGATCCGTTCTGGCTGTCAAATGTAAGATAATGCTACCTTACAGGACTGGACTACATTGACTCCCAGCTTAGAAATAGGGAGCGAAGTGGTTGGTAGAGTGTGTTGACCACTTCGCTTGCATCAGTCAGAGCCAATGAGTTGATCACTGACGAAATCTCAGTAGGGATACAGAGGACTAGTTTCGCATATGCCAGTTTACGCCGTCTCTGGTGTAGAGGTGATATCCGGCTGGCTATTGACCAAAGGGCGTGTGTAATGCTCATCAGTCCACTCCGTCCTTTATGGCTGTAAGAGAGACCTGGCCATTGAGAGTGGAAGACATGAAAACATCGACTAGCTGTCTTTGATCACAAGTGACTGCGTTCTATCTCCCTTGTGAAATGGTATAATAGGGTAAGCAATATTGAGGTTATGCGTAGAGTGCTAGGTAAGTGTGAGGGGATATCAATCGCCGAGGTTGTGAAGCAGTAACATCGACTGAGGTGGTTAGGGCATGTGCTACACATGTGTGGCCTAGCCATCGCCTTCCTTGACGGGCAATATTAGCTAACATAGGATCAGGCTGGAAAAGAGCCACGGGTGGTCAAACAAAAACATGGCTTCATTAGTCAATGGAATCCACAATGGTTAGTATAAGTCAGCCACGTAGGAAGGTTTAGACTTCCTGACTGGTTGGGGTCGTCGGGACGGTAAACACCATTGGCTGGTGCAGATTAATCCACTCCTTGTGACTTATAATTTCCATTGAAACTATATTGTTTTTCGATATTACTATCCATTTAGCCTCATATCTCTGTTCACTGTCTCTATTTTGCATTTCTGTTTTCTGTCTTCTTTTGTTTTGTGTGTTACATGGAGTGTAGCGACTCGAACTGCTGCACATGGGTGCAAAGTTCTGTGTTGAAACCAGTCGGGTGCTTTTTTGGTGGGTGATACCACTAAATGCGTTAAATATTACGATTAAGTCGAGTAGTAGCTATGTGTTCGGTCAGCAAATAACCCTGGGGATGCTAACTTGTCATAGTATGCCTTTAAAACTGATTCACACTCAGGTATCACCAGACACTTCACTGAGCCATCACATATCTAATGCAAAATAGTTTAATGACAGCTTCCGCGTTTACAGAGTTTTGCCTAGTCAACAGATAAATCATCATGATAATGTAATGACAATAATTCCGGTGAAGCAATAAGAAAACGTAATTTGTCTGAATCGTGCAATTTATTTGCTCAACACATTTCGAAAAACTTAACCACACACGTACTTATCAAAGAAGTATATATATATAATAAAGAGTTAAGAGGTGAGAAAATAGACTACTTAGGTAAAGTTAAAAGGACATATTTGAAGGTGAAAATAACAAACAAAGTTTATCAACGAAGGTTTAGTGTGATATTGAATTGTTTTTGAATGCCCATAGGTGTTTTAAACTTCCTAATCACTAGAACTTTCACTGACTTCAGGATACACCCTAAACACGTTTTTATAGATAGGACATAAAATTGATGTTTACACCTCTTTTAAACCTGTCTCTATAATTTGTTTCGCCATAGGGGAGCTAGGTCAATTTTTCCCGCCAATAATGAGTTCTTGGGGTTCCATTTGCTTCTGGAGCCATTTAAGAATATGCTGTGAAGCCCTTACTTTCGGAAATCGGCGAGTCCTCCCTATGTGTGTATATCCACACGTACATCTAAATTGGTAAATACAATGGGATGTGACGTCATTTTTCGTATGTTCTGAGGACTTAGATGGATATATGCGCTTCATAAAAAGTCTTTCTAACTGCACCGTTCAATATTTGTAGAGTTACCAAGCTGTTATGATCACTCATCAAGGGTAGCCTGATATATGTGCCTTTCCTAGTGGCGAATTGCAGAGTGGGTCTTGGTGTTCCACTGACCACTTTATATCATATGATTTGTTGAGCGACCGATTCTTGATTGGTTTGTTCCCATAATTTCTTGTTGCTTATTCTTTCTGGCCATTTGATCTTCACTATGGAGCGAAGGGAGCTGTTGATGAAAGTCTGCTGAAGCCTGTTGGAAATCCTTCACGTGACATGTAGTGCAAGTTTCTGACCTGTATAGAAGAACTGATTAACTGATTTCACATTAATGTTGACAATCTGAATCTTTTTATTTGGGATACTGAGGTAGAGTGCAGAAGACTTCCAAATTGGTTTCAAGTTGATGAAGGCTTATCTTGCCTTTCCGATTCTCACTGGTTTTGACATCTTCATCCGTTCCGACTGCCTGTAGTTGAAACGGTGCTTCCCAGGTAAGTGAAGGAGGTAACCTTTGTTAGATCTCTCCAGTTGATGGTGATTGGTGGTAGTCGTTGTTGTTGCTGGTGATGATGGTTGGTTATCTTTATCACCTCCGTCTTCTCTATGTTCACCTGCAGTCCTGTCTTCGCTGCACTGCTTCTTCTGCCGGTTTGTCGGCTTTCGCCTACTTCTGAGTCTTCGAGTTTGTATAGCACTAGACATATATTATCTGTGAAATCCAGATCTAGAGTCTTCTCATCGGTGGTCCAGTGTATTCCTGTCTCCTCGTTTCCCACAGTCTGATGAATAGTCCAGTCCACTACAGTTAAGAATATCGTCGTCAGTGATAATAGTCAGACAGCCTTGTCTTACACCTGTATTAACTGCGAATGCGTTGCTGAGTTTTCCATAATGGGTCGTCTGACACATGACATTGTCATACAGCCAGCTGTTGAATGAGGTTGATAAAGACTTATGCACTGCAGGCCGCATGTTGAAGTAGTTTCCAAATTACTTCTCGATCAACACTGTCTGGTGAAGGCCTTTTTGAAGCCAATGAAGTTAAGGTAGAGAATTGACTGCCATTCTATGCCTTGTTCGATGGCGATGCGTAGCGTTGCAATTTGATCAGCACATGATTTGCTTTTCCTTAAACTAAACCAGCTTGCTCCGTTTCGCGGAGTTATGCGTCCAGTGCATCTTTGATTTTTTGGCAGTTCCAATTAGTATGTACCTTTCCGTCTTTCGAAACCTTTTACAGGAATGAAATGAGAACATCTGCCGTAATCTCTGGGGCCGTCTTCAGTGCCTCGTGAGGAATTTCGTCCGACCCTGTTACTTTCCTGGGCTTCAGTAGCCTGATCGTATTCAAGAATTTTGCTCTCGTTGGAGGATTGACATTCACTGGCAGTAATTTACATGTGTACTGTTGGTGGTATTTCTGAGTTAGTTGCCGGTGATGATCGACTAAAGTGTCCTTTAAAGTGGTCAGCCCGTTGTTTGATTTGTTTCTCCTCCTTGATGATCAGTTTCCCTTGAGCATTTTTATTGGTTTCATCATTTGGGTTGATTTCTTCCTGGATAGAGACTTGGTTATCTGATATAGTGTCCTGATGCCTTTTTTGCCTACTACCTGTTCTGTATTAGTTGCCAACCAGTGTGTCGAAGAATAGTCATTTGTCTTTTCTAGCACTTTCCTTCACTTCTCTATTCAGCGCAGTATACATTGAACTCAGCTTCTCCATCTGTTTTCCATCTTTGCATTGATTCAACACCATTCTCTTTCATCCTCCTCCTCTCTTCTATTAGCTTCCACATAGGTGTCGGTTGAGAGCTATTCCTTTTCTTGTGTCTTCTTTCTCCCTAGAACAGTTGTACACGTTTCCACTTCACGAATTGGTAGAAGTTTGAATTCATGGACCATTGAAGTGTTGGGTCCTGGGTGCGTACTGCCGATGATTCCCAAACTAGGCTAAAAAAACAGCTGTCCAGTAGTCCAGTGCTGGTTTTCAATGGTTCTCTAACTAATGTCCATCTGTGGTCAACCTTGTATAAAGAAATATAATCCTTACAAACCAAACTCTTGAAAACAATTTACCAATCAATCGATGTTCTGTTTTGTCCACTTTTCTGTGCATCAATTTGGTTTAAATAAAGTAATATACATTCTTTTGTTAAATTATGTTTTCCTTCGGTGTGATGCCTTTATTTTTGTCTTCTGAAGGCGATGGAGGTTTTCAGAAGCTGAAGAATACTTTGCAGTAAAACGGCTACTTGTTGCTGTTGAAAATATGGACAAAAAGGCGTGTTTGCTGGCTATAAAGGATCAATGTTTTAGAATTCTTGATCTAGATGTAAGTGTTTTGTTGAATGAATTAACTATTTCACCTTATTAGAATTATGTGTTGTAGTATAACACTATTGATTGATTTGGTTAGAAATAAATAGCTTGCCTAGTACTGATCTGAATGGCTATTTATTGATAACCAAAGACTTTTATAATGTAATATATGGAATCGTATTAATGAAATTACTGACGGTGATAAGCAAAGTATTATTATCTCCTCTTTTTTGATGTAAATTCGCCACACTACGAATCATCATTGAAAAAAGCTTGGAATGGCAGTCACCTCTCTATCTCAACTTCATCGACTTTGAAAAAGTCTTCGACAGCGTCGATCGAGAGGTGATTTGGCAGTTATTTAGCTACTACAGAGTGCCGCCGACATTTATACACCTCATCCAACAGTTGTACAAAAATCCTGCATGCCAAGTAATCCACAACCGGAAACTTACGGAAAGCTTCGAAGTGAGGACGGGAATGAGGAAAGGCTGTCTACTATCGCCAATGATTTTCCTGATCGCAGTAGATTGGATAATGCGACAGACAACGGTCAATGAGGAAACAGGCATAAAATGTACTCACAAAAAACTTGGAGGATCTGGACTTCGCCGATGATATATGTCTGATTTCCCACAAACTGTAAGATATGCAAGTGAAAAGCAACAAGCTGGCAAAAGAAGCATCAAAGATAGGACTTCAAGTGAACATAGATAAAACAGAGGTGATGAAGATTCCTGGCCAACAGCAACAACAACAGACAACAATCAGCCAGCATAAATGGGAGAAACCTGAAAGAAACAACCTCCTTTACCTCCCCACCTGGGAAGCATCGTTTCAACTACAGGCGGACGGAACTGATGAGGACATCAAAGTAAGGATCGGAAATGCAAGACAAGCTTTCATTACTCTCGAGTTTGTGTGGAGGGGAACAGCACTCAGCATCGAAAATAAGATCCGGATTTTCAACTCAAATGTGAAGTCAGTGCTACTATACGGATCAGAGACTTGGCCAGCGCGTCATGAAGAGCACGTCAAACAAACTACAGATCTTCATTAACAGTTGTCTTCGCTCAATGCTACTCAAAATGAGATGGCCGGCCAGAAAAGATCACCAACAGGGATCTCTGGGAGCGAACCAACCAGGAATCGATTGTGAAACAAATAGCAGGAAGAAATGGAGATTGACTGGCCATACTCTGAGGAAACCATCAAGTGACATCACTAGACAAGCCCTCGAGTGGAATCCGAAAGGGAAGCGGTGAGTTGGCCGTTCAAAGGTATTTTGGAGGATGTCATGTGAAGAGGAGATGAAAGCATGTGGGCAGACTTGGAGCCAGGTGAAAACTTTGGCAGAGAACCGAACGCAATGGAGAAGCGCGGCTGAAGCCCTACTTTCCTCTAGGAATTAAAGGAAATAATTTTATAATAATTTGATGTAAATAGTTTTAACAAATCTGTTATGCTGTCTCCTACTGACGTGTTTTTTGATTCCTGATACTACAAATCATAAGGTTAGTGCCTTTCATGGTTTCAACACTGTTGAAATCATGCACTCGTCATCCACTCTCTATTCTTTAACACAGCCAACAAATTTCAAGGTATTCTCTTCAAGACACGTTTGCGTTCGTCGACTGTATTACAGAATCAAGAGTGGACGACAAGTGCGTGATTTCATTCGATATTGAGTCACTCAGTTTTCACAAACACCCCGATTACGGAGACGATTTGCTTCCTATGCAAATACTTGAAAGACAAAGACTTTAAATATCGGAATACCGACTGTCCTAGGTTAAGAGAGCTTCTGTTTAGATGATCACGGCGAATTCACGTCAGTTAGGGAGAGAGACAGAAAGAATGGTTCTCTAACTGATATCAATCCGCGATGTAACGGTAAATAAACTAATACGAATATAAACTTATACGCTTCACAACAGTACACTATCTTGATCACAGTTTGGTGTTGTAACAACAGAAGATAAGGGCCAGGCAACAGATCGTTTATTTAGGAAATCGACACGTATTTATACATATTTCATGTACGTTATCATAGCTTATTCAAGCAGACAAACAGTCTCCTGATTGGTTGTTTCTTGCTCAAGGTTAGTCTGTACTGCTTGTGACTGGTTTCTCAGAAAGTTAAGCCATATATCTGCGAATCGTATTTGCCCACGTTAAGTCTGCTGTGAATGGTTGCTGAATCAATCTTGTTCATATTTTCTCACGGCCAATATTAGCGACATAGACATTGACGTAAATTCATGTCTACCAATTGGCTAGCCGCCTGCTCTCACCACAGTGTGTGCTACTGATAAGGTTTGTTAGTAGTATACAGACACAGACTGGTAGGAAGTGGCGAAAATCGGAAACATCAGTCAATGGCTGCAGAGGCAGAAGTGATTACTCCTCAAATCTGGATTTAATTTGCATTGTGGCCGGGAAATAATCCCATTGGATAAACTGTTTAACCTCGCGCCAATTGTCAATCAGGTAGAACTATTTGTTCACCTCTGAGCTAGCCGAACTTTAATATGGCTAAGGATGTGTAAATATGGCGTGTTTTTCCATGTCTCTTATCTTCTCCAGTGACAATAGTACAAAGAAAGACAATTAAGTATACTATAGACACTAAATGATGTGCATCGGTGGCTAAGCGATAGATTGCTCGCCAACCGCGCCTCACGTGGTCCTGGTTTCGATTCCCGGCCGATGTACTCCAAAATCTCGCTAATGCGATAATAAAACCGATAAAGAGGAAAGGTCAGGCATAGGGGGCTAGCACAACCCCACCTTGTAAAAATAAACACCCCTGCTACCGAAACTTCAAGCCTCCAGCTTGAAGCCGCCCTCTGTTCCACCACCGGGAACGTAAAGGAATAAAATGAAATAAGCACTCCCAGTATTCCCAGGTTTTCCAATGGTTCTCTAGCTGATATCAGTTTATGATCAAAATCCTCCAACCAATCAAACAAAATCCCTACAAATACCAATACTTCAAAATCGATCTGATGCTCACTAGCGACTGGCCCTATTCAGGTAGGTAGTCACCTGGGGTTCTAGCAGGAAGTCGTGACCAGTAGGATAAGGCAGCAACTCATCGAAGAAGACATTGTGAATTGGTCACGCTAGGTCATGAATTCGTACAGGTTAGAATTCATGGGCTGGTCATTGGATCGGGGGTCCCAGTGGCATTATGGCGTCTACAAGCTGCTCGCCTTATAAGCAGATGACCCTGGGTTCGAACTTCGTCGGTGAGTGCGTGCCGATGAAGAGTCCCAAACTAGGACGGAGGAAACAGTTGTGCAGTACTCCTTGCAGGTTTTCCAATGGTTCTCTAACTGATGTGTCAGCTCATGATGAAATCCTCCTACCAATTAAAATAAATAAAAACTAAGTGATGTATAATTGTGCGTTTCAGTCTTCTGTTATTCATTAGTACATTGTCTTTTTATGCTCATTTATCGATTATTTTTTTCCTTTTTTTTCCTTTTCTTCCCTTCTATGATATCGTGTAGTATGCACGTTTAGCCAAAGAAATTAAATTCCCTTATCCTGACAATGCTGAAGAAACACAGAATACTACTAATGTTAATGTCAGCCTACCAATGATGAACACAGGGAATACTGGCTGGAGTACTTCAGCTGAAGCCAATCCAACTGCTACTTCTACTACTACAAAACAACCAGTCAGAGAGAGTAGGTGGAGGTGACGGTGAACAAGAAGATGAAGAGGATATCTGCTAGTCTGTTTTTCCTTCTCCCTTGAGACTCTTTTCTTTCTCATCAAAGAAGTGAGAAGCATTGTGATAACTAACTCTTCATAATACTTATTATTTATTCGAAATATTTTTCCCCAATTATTATTATTATTATTACTCCTGGAAACATTCCTCTAACAACTAATTTTGTATTTATAAGTTTTTCCTCATTTTTTGTAAACTATCATGAACTATACATACATACATCATGTGACATCACTTACATATTTGTGATTTATATATCCGTGTAATAAATACCATTCCTGTGCAGCAGCAACAAGCAAAACAACAACAATTAATACTTACAATTCCGTTACTTTTCATTTGGGTCTCATTTCGTCTTCTCTCCTCCTCCTCCTCTTCCTCTTCTGCTCAGCAGAAGTCCACACTGTCCTCCTGTGAGAGACATGGCCATTGAAAGTAGAAGATATGAAATTGGCTAACTGTGTTTGATCATAGGTAGGTGTTTGTGTTCCATATCACGTGTGTTTGGTGTAATAGAGTGTTGTAGTAGTATTGAGGTCAGACCCCAGTCAAGTACTAGGTAAGGAGGTGTAAGAATAAGACTTGTACACTGTGGTAGAGTATAATTCCGTTATGGGTAAAATTTATTTTGGTAAAGTCTCACAGAGTTTTTTATATAGTAATATTTACTGATGACCACCTTCCGAGCACAATTTATTACTGCTCATTATCATATCAAGGCACTACTCACACAACTTTCTAACTTCGTTTATATAATTCCATTATTTTTCATCGCTTGATTTGATTCGTAGTAGTATTTTCCATGTTTCCGGTATGCGTGATGAGTCATTCCAATTGCATGTGTTAGATGTAGACTCGATGAACAAGGATTCAGTAATCAACCTCTCTCGCTCTCCACCTAGCTAGATTACTTTTTAATATTTGAACCCTCTCCCACCCTGTGTGGTTGTGTGTTAATGCATACTGTGGAATCACTGAGCTTTTTTCTAAATTACTTATCTTCTCGGGGTCAACCATTCTCACCTTAGCTAAATTCTTATGTTCTGATAATCTGACTATCCTTGACCTACTAGTTTGACCTATGTTGTTGACGTCACTCACAGTCATTGCAGGGTATTTTGTAAATTATGCTATTTTGTTTAATTGGGTCAACTGGGTCCTTTAACCTCTAGAGCTTGTCCTACCTGAGTGAGTTTGTAGGTTTGAATGCCACCCTAATTCCTGCTTTATTAAGAATCCTATGTAGGGTCTCAGATTTCCCCTCCTTATGTGGTATAACAGTAGATGACTTATATTCTCTCTGATTTATGTTATCACTACTAGTTTCACAATTATTTTTATTTTGCTTTTGCCCTGTCTCGATCTTCCTAATGGATTTTAAAGGATAGTTACTCAACACCAACGCTTCTTCTATCTGTTTTATTTCGTCATTTAGATCTTTTCTTGTGCTACTTTGTGCTATGGCTCGGTTTGTTAGACACTTCACTAAACCTGCCTTAACAGTTAACTGGTGAGATGAATTAAAGTCTAAATATCTATTAGAATGAGTTGGTTTTCTATCACACTAGTGTGTAGTTTACCTTCTTCTATTCGTTTTATTTTACAATCTAACAGTTAATTCTCCTTGTTCATTTTCCGATTCAAATATGAATTTTATTCCCTCCACTAGTGAGTTTATGTGTGTCAAGAAGCTAGAGTGAGATATGTTCTGTTTTTAATACTGGGAAAGTGTCATCCACTTATCTTCACCATATCTTTGGAGTAGGATTAAATGCGATGAGAGGAATATTTTCCCAGTTGCCCATAAATATGTCTGCTACGATAGGGGACATCGGTGATCCATCCGATTGCTACACCATTTGTTTGTTTTTATATTTTTCCCTGGAATTTAACTGAATTCCCAAAATAATTTCTTCAATGGGCAGCTTTAACCTATGAGTAGGTTCTGGATCCTCAGTTAATTCATTTTAACTGTTCCTAAGGCCATAATGATTGGTATTTTAGTGTAAAGACTAGTCATATCAAAATTAACCATTGTTTCATCATTCTCTAGTGTGAATATTATTTAGTTTAGGTAAGGAGGGTTAATCAGTCGAAGTGGGTTGTGAATTTACATCGATTGAGATGATGGTTAAAACATGTGTTACGCATGAGTGACCTAGCTGTCGCCTACCACCGCAACAACCAATGTCAGTTGACTTAAGAACGATCAGGTTGTGATAGGTCCCGGCATAAAACAGCATATCATCCTTTGACACGAATCGTATGATTTATCATGTGATGGAGTTACTAAGTGAATGTATCATTCACGCATATTGTGATTTAGTGTGTGACCAATTCATCTTCTTTTGTCTCACCTTGATCTTTGTTTGATCGCCAACCAATGAGAATAGACATTTATAGTGAATAAGATCAATACATTCCCACGGTTGTAAGCCGACTTTATTATGGTTAAGAAAATGTCTAAGTATCATGTGTTGTTTCTTAGACTATATAGTTATAGTACAGTATAATACAATATCCTTACAGTCGCAGGGCGGCCTTTGTATTTTGATGTTTGCGTGGTTCAGTGAATCGGAAGGCGCAACGGACAAATGGACGTATTAGCGTACGAGTCGAGTTCATTACCGTTATAGTAATTAACAGGCGTAGACAGGTTGAAAAAGAGTTAATGGTGGTCAAACGAAATTATGGCCTCATATGTCAATGAAATCATATCAGTTATTGTAAGCCAGCCACGTAGGGTGGCGTAGACTTCCTGGTCGGGGTCCTCGGGATAGTAAAAACCAGTGGCTGGAGACAGTCGGCGACACTGCTAGAAATCGTCCTCAATGGCGCAGATGCATCCACTATTTTTTGATTCCAGTAAAACTCTTGTTCTTCCGTGTCAATACTCTTTTTGCCTCACAATTCTGTTTATTATCTGGGCTTTGAACGTTTCTCCTCTCTTGCTTTGTGGTGCTACGTGGAGTGTGGCAACTCGAACTGCCGCACATCTGTGTAAAGTTCTACGTTGAAACCAATCAGTCTCCTCCCCTCCTGAGTGTAGCATACACGTCTGTAAACGTTTTTTGAAGTTTCTGCGAGGATAGTTTTGGTTTCCATAGGGTTGCTAACCTCACACACACCGAGCTAGTCTCCTACCAGTGAATCCCTGACGTATCTTGTGATGAATACAATCCGCCGCTGCCGTCTTTACATTTTAAAATAAAAAATTACAGGATGAATTTTATAGCTTCATCCTTATTTTCAGTGGCGTAAAACGTTCCAAGTGGGTCGCATACGGCTTCAACTTTGAGCTCTGAAGTTTCAAGAGCAGTGATATTTTATTTTTTCACTGCGATGGTGTGGAGATTGCTGCTAACCCCTCACTCCCAGCCTTCCCCTTTTGTACCAGGCTAACTACCGGTTTAACTCGGATCACGGGAGTACATCGACCGGAAATTGATCAGTATCCCTTCGGTGGAGCATAAGTTTGATTGGGAATGATTAAAATAAGTATCCACCGGGGTTCAAACCTAGGGCTTCCGGGTACAAGGCAAGCTGGTAGATAAATCAGCTGCTGGGACTCTTATGAGAAGCTGCACAGTGTAACTAGAGTGATTACCCACTTAAAATGACTGATAGATGATGTCATTTGCAATCTGCATTTTTATTGGGTGGTTCTTTGCCTGTTAGTATCCTTCCCTGATCGATCATGTGATTTCCAGTATAGATGAAAGCCAATTGTTGATTAATGTCTACAGGTCATTTGGGAACTTGACACTCCATGGTATTGAAACTTTTGACAAATTACTTCAGTCTCGGCAGTGTCAATTGCTTTTTGAGAATCAATCAAGTTAAGGCAATGATTTGATTCACATTCTCTGAGGAAGCAGAGTTGCACTTGATGATTCGCACATGACTTGACAAATAGTTTGTTGGAAGATTTAGTATGAAGGCCTTTCGTAGACGACTGCATATCAAAGGACATGTATACTACTGACAAACAAGCTGTTACTTCTGTTTACGATTCACTACATTCCTTTAAGATTTTTATTCCTGTAATTATTGAGTATATAATTATCATTGTTCCCGTGAGTTCCGAGTGGAACACACAGCTTCAACTGCTTATCTCCACTTCGTCATATTCTCCGCAGTCCTCTTCACATGGCCCCATGTCTGCCCATAGTCTTTCACCTCCTCCTCCATGTCACACTCGGACGACCCACTCGTCGCTTTCCATTGAAATTCCACTCGAGGGCCTCGCGCACGATGTCTCCTCAGCGTGTCCTCAGTCTATCTCTAATCTCTCCTACATATTTGTTGAGTGACAGGTTCCTGATTGGCTCGTTCACAGAGTTCTTCATTTCTGGCCATCTGATTTTCAGTATGCAGCTAACGAAGGTAACCGTTGATAAACATCTGCGGTAGCGGCCTGTTGGAAACCCTTTTCGTGACGCGCAGTGCAAGTTTCCGACTCACATAAAAGAGTGACCAAATACTGGTGTTAAGAATTAGGATTTTCTCCCTTATGTTAAGTACAGAGGATTTCCATACTGACCAGAGAATGAAGACGGCCTGTCTTACCTTTCCATTTCAGGTTTACAAATCCTCATCCGTGCTCATTAACAAGTAGCATAGCTTATTGCAAGAGAATGACAAGACGTTGGATTATTATTCATTGGACTAATCTGACGGGAAAATTCTAAATGTTCCTTAGAATTTTATCGCTACAATTTTCGATACTTCAAGAAGGTACTTTGATTCATTCAAACAACCCTGAGCGTCTTCACTGATTGATTCTAGGTTCTCTTTCAAGGACAAGTATTATAGTGTGCAGCTTTCTGAAGAAATTTGGTGGATGGTGACTAGTGGCATTTCGTCCCTTATTGGGACTCGTCACCGGATGTACCTGCATTCTTCATGGGATTAGTGATGTTGCCGCCACTAATGCTGGAATCCAGTACCCATGAGTTCAAACGCCAAAGCGGGTTATCCACTAGACTACATGGGCCACGAGATTCACCTCTTGAGCAACTGTGTTATCAGTTGTTATTTAATGCAGTTTGGACTTTCCTACTACTGATTGATTGGGCCGAAGTACTCGACCTTACGTTGATACTTCGGCTCCTTGTGCAGATGCTTCGATTCTGGATTTCACTGCTACTCACAATACGCCAAATTACTTTAGATTAAATCCTCAGATATAGTAGTAGGAGTATCCGCACAAGGAGCCGCCGACATTTCAACTAACACCGAGCACTTCGGTCCAATCAATCAACAGGGAAGTCAAAATTGAATTAAATGACTCTTACTTCTCCTTAATATATGCATAGCACTTGATGCAAATACCTTAATAAACAGTACAAACCACTAAGTTTATCGGCTGAATTACAACGCTCGTCACACTGTAACGGTAAAAGACAAGACTTGGTAAAAAAGACATGTTTATTAGCAACTTGGTATCTCTATATAGCGAAATGATGTACACCTTATCTTTAAATCACCATTTGCACACGGATCTTCTGTACTGTGCTAATTCTCCCATTTATAATGTGTTTTTTGTGTTCCTTTCATGTGTCTCATGCATCTACGCAACACGGTATCATTTGCATTCTCTGACATTAAATCTATGTCCCTGCTATTCGATGTTTTTATGCCGACTTACGTCTCCTTATATACTACTGATAATTCTTATCAGTAGCACACGCCACAACACCAAAAATAAAAAGCATAATCGAGAATTTGTATAAACTGCATACTATCGACACATTAGTAAGTTATTTACACCCACTTAAAGTAGATATGTCTCATTTTGTAGGCCGTTAAAGATGCTTTTGACTGTAGCACTGGATAGAATCGCCAAAGAGATATGAACAACTCCTCCAATACTACACATATGCCTTACTGATAAATGTGAGTACCAATCAGTATGAGTGAAACCTAGAGCTTTATCGGCATACCATCACAGTTGAAAGAAAAGTAACATAAGCTTAACATATTAGTGTCATTTAAATATACATATTAGAAAGGATATCTATCAAGTATCACACAGGAATAAAATTTTCTTTTCGACGAAGTCACCGTCAACTAAACTGTACATTCATATGAACTGTGATCAAGATTTGACCGGATAGTTGCAAAATAATTGAGCGCTGAGTGAGAAGTAGACATTTTTAAAATTATATTTGTATATAATTTTATAGACTATACATTCAAGTGTCAAATTAATAAAATTACAACTAAAAATTACAATGGCATAATAAACAGGAGAGGGACACATAGAACTCAAAGAAAGTAGCACCATAATTACAGAGAAGATTGACATATTGTGCTATTGGGGGTTGAAAATGTAGAAATAACAAAATAGTGGGATCATAACTAATGTGACGAATAACTGTCTATGCAGTTAGGGATTAAATATGTAGAAATAATAAAATGACAAAGTAGACAGTAAGCTCGGATATGAAAATATGGTAGTGTAAATAGGGATTAAGAAAAACTCAAAAATCACATGAATAAACAGGAAGTTTGGATAAGAAAGGCAATGAGATGGTCACTGCCAAAAGAATTAGCTGTTTATGATGACCATGACAGGGACAAGGAGTGGACGTATTTCTTTTGGATACAAAGCGTGGGTTTGAGCTTCTGGATAGCTAGTGCCTCGGCTTTACCCAGATGTCTTGATTTTACTCCCTTTGATCGAAACCTGCATAATATTTTGAAGGATTTTTCGAGTGACACTGAATGTCCTGAATTGACCAAATGTTGTCACTGAGCAATATACACGTTTTCGATCGCTTTTTACTAGCCAGGCTGGATTGTGTTCACGAGCGCGTTTTTCAAGTAGGCGCACGGTACGGCCGAAGTATTCAGCTCCGCAAGAGCGAGTAAACCAGTATATGCGCATTGAAGTGGCTCAATGCGACAGCTTGTCTTTCGCGTTCTGGTTGAACAGTTTCTTGCAGGAAAACGCCAGTCATCAGCCCGCAACCAGGTATGAGTTCCTCAAAGGTTTGCAGAGGCGTTTACGAAGGATGCCTGATTCAATGTCACGTTTGAATTCTAAATTTTATTTTGTCATTTTATTATTTCTACATATTTAATCCTTAACTGCATAAACAATTATTCGTCACATTAGTTATGATCCCACTAGATTTTGTTTTCCAAACATCCTGTCTATTGTTGTTATTTCTACATTTCTAACCCCTAATTGTACAATCGATGTCAATCTTCTCAGTAATTATGATGGTACTTTGTTTGAGTTTTATCCGTCCCCCCCACCTGTTTTTTATGGCATTTTAATTCCTAATTGTAATTTTTACTAATTTGACTCTTGAACGGAGATTATTCTAGAACTTTTCCACAAATTTATGTTAAATACACGAATGTACAGCTATCTAGTTGACGGTGACGACTTCATCGAAAAGAAAATTTCCTTCAATAAAACCGTCTTTTTAATAATTCCTATTATCCAATGTTTATATTCCATCAGACAGAAATAGTTGTAATGAGAAGAAAGAGACGTAAGTAAAAAAACATATATATGTACAAAAAAGCCATCAGAAGATAAGACGATAGTCATTTGTATCTATCTGTCTATCTATGTACAAATTTCAATTACTATCACTGTTGCTTTATGTACAAGTTCCGTCTGGTTAACCTTCATCAGTATTATTACAAGGATCTAGATTATCTTCTTCAGATGGTGGTGGTGGTTGATCGTGTACATCAGGCGTTGATGTAGCATTATCATCATCATCACCACCGCCTTCTGTGGTTGGATTTGTTGTTTCTTCTGTTTCATTCAATTTTGATAACATTGCAGACATGAGTTCAGCAACTATACCCGGTTGACGTGATTCTAATTCATTCTGAAACATCAAACCATCAAAAAGAAAAACATATTGAAACATTATTTTAGGAACACAAAAAAAAAAACTTCAAAAACAACAATTTGATTTGATTGATCATTTACAGGATAATGTCCCTGTGTCTTAATGGTCTACAAGCTAGTTCACCTTGTAACCAGAAGGTTCTAGGTTCGAAAACCCACGGGGAGTGCCTTCTGACGGCTGAAAAGTTCCAAACTAGGCTGACGAAGCAGCTGTCCAGTACTCTTTGGAGGTTTTCCAATGGTTCTCTAAGCCATTTCACCTCATTGTGAAATATATATAATAACAAGTACGATAATCAATTATTTTTTATTATTTTTGATTACAGCTTGATTCCATACTGTATTTTTGGTACAAGTATGGAATTTTCAGCATGGATATCAGTAGCCCAAATTTCGCAGGCCGACCATAGATATCAGGTGTGCGTCGGCGTGGGCTCGAACCCCAGACCATGTGCTTGGTCGGCGAGAGTCCTAACCACTGTGCCACCGACGCACAATCCCTACGAGTTACCACACTCTACATGAAACACACACAAGGAATAAAAAAAAAAAGATTCGAAAGAACATTAATGAACATAAGTGTGAAAGAGGAAGAATAGTAAAACATTGAAAAGCAATACGGCGTTTTTGGAAATAATAGATAAAAAAAGAGTGAATGTATCTGCGCTGTCATTGACAACGATTTTTCAGTCATATTATCGATTATTTTCACACGTCGTTGGTTCCTACCACCATAAAGACGCCAAAGAGACAGACAGTCTACACCTCCATCCGTGTCTGACTCAGACAAACTGTTATGGATTTCATGTATTGACGTCAAATTTTGGTTTGACCACTACTGGCTTAGCTCTTTTCCAACCTAATCTTATGTCAACTAACATTACCTGAGGAGGAAGACGATGGCTAGGATATTTGTTACGCAAGCATAGTCACCTCAGCACATGTAGCTTCACAACTTAATCAATAGATCTGCCTTCTTTACCTCCTGACCGAAAGCTGCTACCTTGACGTGGTGGTCGCCGGGCTTGCACATCGCGATGACCCAACAGGCCGCATTGGCTGAAACTAATGTTCCTGCAGGTCATAACATACCAGGAAGGTTGTTAGGATAGCAATTAGACTAAAAGCAGTTACCGGAATTGTGTAAGAATCTCTCTTATACTATGCTGGGGAACAGGGGTGTAACAACACTGAGGTTTTTCCCTCAGATGACCAGAATACCAGCCAGCTATGCTGTCTCTCCACTCTGGAAAGAGGAGGTTAGAAAAGGTCGACCCCAAAAATTGTACATCCTGACTCCCCCCACCTACGGTGGTCCGTAACCGGCGGTAAGTTTACTAGTACGGAACCAAACCCAGAAACCAGTTCACACAGGCCGTGTGTGGCCGGCTGGCCTCAAGCAGTTGTCCCCTTGGCTCTGCGGTCACGCAACACTAATCGTCTTTCTGTTTTAGGTACTCGAAGTATCAATCAACTTCCACGGTGTGGGCAGTCGGGAAGTGAAAACTTCCCACACACTTCCAAAACCACACGAAGCCTTCCTGAACATCATTCTCCTTCTTTACCTAACCTCCTCAATATTACGCATCCTATCATACCGCCGCCTAACAAGGGAGACAGAACGTAGACTCCTATGATCAAAGACAGTTAATCTTTTCATGTAAATTCATATACTACAGCCAAAGAATTGTACCATGTTCAAGTGAATAAATGATTCGATCTAATCTCACTTTTTAAAAGTGAACTGAGTTTCACTGAATCAACAGAAACAAAATGCTTGAAAGCGCATTCATTATCAATGTATTATTAAAGTAGTTGTAGTAGTAGAGCTGTTCATTAGTCTAGTCACTTAACTTTCAACCAACTAGGTCACGGGTTCGACTCCTGTTCCATCTAATGAAGCTTGAGACGCTCTAAGATTCATCATTCAACTTCAATTTTCCAACTTTACTGGTTCACAGAAGCTTTAGGAGTTAGTTAACAAAAAGTCTCGTGTAAGGCTGTCTCACATAACTTAGTGATCGATCATATTATGCAAAGTGATCTATAAACTTTGGATTCATTGTGTGACTACTATCAATTTAGAACAACACATTTAAGCGAACAGTGATATTGTGCTTTCAATTAGATCTCATCAGGCTTAACTCTAATATACCTACATAAATTTACAGATAAATATTCAAATATGCAAACCAATCATGGTGTTTTGTCTATAGGATAATAAAATGGTGAATATAAATTGTGCAATTAGTCATAATAGTAGTGTAGATAATAGTAATAATGTTTCTATCAATAATAAGGATGAAAAAGTGAGGCAATCTGTGATAACACGAATAACGAAAAACAGCATAATTAAACAAACAATTGTTCAGGTGGAAGTAGTCGATAAAGGCTAGTAAAAACAAATGAACCGATTAAGTAATGTTAGATTGTACGGGAAGGAAATGAAACACGTTTATAATGAAGATAAGATTAAGGGATGATAAGAAAGGGGTTGAAAATATAAATAAGGGGTGGTGTAGAAGTCTTTAGTTGGTTATGTCTTAATAGGCCAAGGGAGGGATAATGGCTGTACGAACTTCTTTTGAATGCATAGTTTAGATTTAATAGTTCGAATGTCTATCGCCTCAGCTGTGTGTGTGCAGCAGACGAATACGAAGTCTATTGGAAAGATTCGGTGGGATACGATGATTTACTTTGAAAGCTCTCGTTTTCTCCACTACATGACTACTACCAATTAAATGTGACAAAATTGAGCTACGGATTGTTTTTGTCTGTCCTTTGCCAAACCACGATGAGAGATGTTCACTAACACGTTGATTAAGCTGTCTAGTAGTACGCCCGACATAACTGCCACCACAGGTGCAGTTGAATTGATAAATGCACATAGATGTGGCAAAACTATCCAGTTTATCCTTCGTTTGCGTCCCAATCATTCGTCGGCTAGCGAATGACAAACATAGGTGTGCTGCGTAAAACGTTCTTCGTATACTCCTTGAAAGTCTTTGGAATAGAATCTCACTTGATAAGTCACCATTAAAGTGTAACTTAATAAATAGAGGCTTTTTACATGCAGTCAGAGTCTCACGTTTTCTCTCTGATGTTTTCATGTGTTTCTCTATGAAACTACTCGGATAGCCCATCTCCGTCAAGGAATTGTGAATATATTCAAATTCCTTTCTTGCTCTACTAGTAAAACCTTTAACAACTTTTTTTTATATTTAATGGGCACGTAATTAAGGAATTGTGTGTATTGTCCTGTGAATGCGCTTTTTCTATACACGCTTCTCCCAAGTGACCCATCTTCTCGCCTACTTAGCAAAACATCCAGGAAATGTAGTTTACTATCCTGCTCCTCTTCACAAGTAAAAGTAAGCGAAGGGTCGACGTTGTTGAATCTCAGCAACAATTCGTCTATGTTAACATTCCCATCAGCTAAGATAAATATATCATCAACATATCGGTGATACATATCAAACTCCTTGATGATGTCTTTCAATTTCCCGTTTTCAAGTTTTGCGAGAAAGAAGTCAGCTAACATTGGGCCTAATGGTGAACCCATAGCTATTCCATCTACTTGTCGATAGTAAGAATTATTGAAGACAAAGTGTGCATTCATTGTGCATTTGAGAAGTAATTCTTTGAGGCTTCACAAGGGGATTCCTAAGTCTAATTGCCTATCGGTGATTTCTTGACAAATGTAATCTACTGTCTCCATAAGCGGTACATTAGTGAATAGTGATGATAAATCCATGGATAACATGCGTTTACACCTAACAAAAGTCTCGGATGTTTTTGAAATAAAGTCGAAGACATCACTAATTCTATGTTGCACGATTTCTCTGTGTAAAGTACCCACAATTTTCACTAACCACTTCGCTGTTCAGTGAAATGGAGAGGAACACCGGGTTGCACTTTGAGTTGATCATAAAGACGTGGAGTATTGGTACCCATTGGTTTCATGGACCCATAAGTGGCTGATGATAATACTCCTATTTGGTTCAGCTTTTTGAGAGAGTCGGTCATTAGTTTCTCCGCTCTTACATTGAGGTCTTTGGAAACACCAAGAGAAATCTCGACTATTCATTCACCTAATTAATACAAATATGCTAATCTAAATTTGGGAGTATAATGTTGTACATGATAACATACTTCATCACTGAGCGCATTCGGCACTTTGATTAGACACTAACTAGCGCCATGCATCTAATCCTTTGTTTGCTGCAGAGTAAATTCTATCAGTCAAGTTTAAAATGTGGCCACCAACGTGCTAGGTGGTTGTTCGTCACGGTGACCTTAGAATTCTTGTTATTAGATGGTTGAACGCAATCCTCAGGAAGCCTCACCTCACCTTCGGTTTCATGCTTGTTTCCAGTCACCAGTTACTCAGCAAGGCGAATCCACATCTCTTTCGAACCTGTGTCACCCAGTGCTGCAGTCAGTCAGAGACGTTACCACTATTGAGCTATTCAGGCTCTCAATAGACCTCCTGTGTGACCGGCTGTATTAGATACTTCGATTGAACACTAACCAGTTTAATTTCGTCTAGTATTTTGTTTTTACTGCAGACTAAATTCTATCAGCTTATCTTAGAAGGAACATGAGATCCTTCAACATTGTAGATACGCCAACAAGCACAAAACGTAGGTCATGTAGGGAGGGCTTCCTGATGACTGCTTCCAACCATCGAATAAACACATTCGGTGTCAGTGTTTCAGACAACACATCTCAAAACTGATTGCAGTGAAATAATCACTTGGTTAGTAGTTGGGTCTAGTACCAGCTTGAATCCTACACCACTTCACCTTCAATCATTGCTCGTTATATCTGAATGAAACTTAAATACATTACCATATAAAAATACTAAAATAATAATAATGATTAAACATGAAGAAAGGGTGATGTTCTTACCTGTAATGCTTCAACAACAGATTCGGTTTGATTTATTTGTTGGTGTAGAATTAACAGACTGTTTTGAAGACCTTCTAAATCCGTGTAGGCTTCATCCACTACACTTTCAATATCTAGTAATGGGGAATTGTAATAATTAAACACACAAAATAAGTATATTGAATAAACAAACAAAGAATTTGTGAAACTATATACTTTTTGCAATCTGATGCTCGTCGGTGACTGGCTACAGGATGAAGTTTCCAGGAGTTCTAGTGAGACGTCGTTACCGGTGGGTTCTATCCAGCTGCGAGTGAGGATGGATTTCCCGCCAATGACATTGGTTGGTACTAGTCGTGCTAAAATTACGAATTGTTAGAAGCTAGAATTCACGAGCTTGTCATTCCGTCGAATCCCAGTGGCTGAGTGGTATATGAGCTTGCCTTCTAACAAGAAAGTCCTGGGGGTTAGAAACCCAGTGGGTGCGTACTGACGATGAATCCCAAACTAGGATGAAACAGTACTGTCCAGTACTCCAGTGATGATTTTCAATTGTTCTCTAACTGATATCAATCCGTCGGGTCTATCCTGAAAATATATACACTGGTAACCTTAGCAACCAGTCACATGATTTATCGTTACAGGTATATATTTTCATTCAGAACTAGGTGCGATAAAGAGAAGAAATTCACTGGGGCAAAAGAAGTAGTCGTCAATGTAAGCTGATAGATATACGACAATCTATCTATGCTATTACTGTCTGGATTCAACATAGAACTTGGCACCGAAGTGCAGCAGTTCGAGTTGCCACGTTCCAAATAGCACACAGAGGTAGACAAGAAGATGAGTGAAGAGAATTAATAGAGTTTGACAAATATAAGAGTGAAACAGAATGGGTAATGGTAGAAAGGAATATGAAAGATTACAGAGATTGAATACATCTGCGCCATTGACAACGATTTTGAGCCATGTCACCTATTGTCTCCAGCCATTGATTCCTAGAGTCCCGAGGGCCCCAACCCGGGAGTCTGCATCTCCCTACCTGACTCAGTTTAACTGTCAAGGATTTCATGGATTGATGCCATGTTTTTGTTTGGCCACCACTGGCTCTTTTCCAACCTGAACCTATATCAGCTAACAATGCCCGTCGGGGGAGGCGGTGGTTAGGCATGCGCACCACGTGACCTAGCCATCTTAGTCTATGTAACTTTATAACCTCGTCGATTGATTTTCCCTCTTTGCCCAACACTCTACGCCTAACGTCAACATTACTTACCTTGTGAAACCACCTAACGTGAGACAGAGATCGCAGACATCTATGATCGAAAGCAGTCAACCTTTTCATGTCTTCAACGCGTATTGGCCATGTTTCAGAGCCATAGAGAAGGACGGAGCGAACTGATGAGCAGTACACACGTCCCTTGGTTGATAACCGGATGTCACGCCTACGCCAGAGATGGTGTAAGTCAGCGAAAGCAGCTCGAGCTTTTCGGATCCGTGCTGAGATTTCATCGCCAATCAGTCCGTTGGTGCTAATACAACTTCCCAAGTAGGTGAAGTGGTCAACATGTTCTATCACTTCACTCCCTATCACTAAGTTAGGGGTTGACGTCGTCCAGTCCTGTAGCAGCATCTTACATTTTGCAGGGGCGAATCGCATGCCAAACATACGAAGATTGCTGCTCAAGGTGTTCAGAAGACTCTGCATTTTGTCAGCATCCTCCCCTAACAGGACTATGTCATCTGCATATTCTAAGTCCATTAGATTATTCCCTGGTAACAAGTCGATTCCTAAGTCACTACGTTCAGTTAAGGATACTTCCATTAGCATATCTATGATGAAGTTAAACAGAAATGGGGAAAGTGGACATCCCTGTCGGACACCACTGGTTGTTACTAATTCAGATGACAATTCCCCATAAGCCCTTACACGACTACGTGAGTTTGAATAGAGTGCCTTGATTAGTGCAATGTACTTTCTTGGCACTCCCTTCACAGTCAGACATTGCCATAGTACTTTTCGGTCCACGGAGTCGAAGGCCGCCTTCAAGTCAAGAAATATGACAATTGTTGGACGCCGAAAAGTGTGTCTATGTTCTAGAATCTGTCGAAGAGTGAAGATATGATCTATGCACCCTCTACCTGGTCTAAAGCCTGCTTGATTTTCCCTTGTCTGTTCCTCCCGAGTTCTGCTTAGTCTATGCATGATTACTGAGCCTAGGATTTTAGAGACTATGTTCGTTAGGCTGATCCCCCTATGATTATCACACGAGGACTTGTTTCCCTTCTTGAATATCGGTATAATGAGTGACTTACCCCAGTCTGATGGTACTGTCTCTGATTCCCAGACTTTGCCTAGTACCTCAGTTAATCTACAAACTAGTATGTCACCCCCATATTTAAACACCTCCGGAATAATTCCGTCGGGTCCTGCCGCTTTGCCTCGTTTCAAATTACTGATAGCTTTTGTAACCTCACCTACAGACGGCGGACCAGTGTCTATATCCCATTCGGGTACGTGGTGGATGGCGGGGAGGTTCAGTGTGGCTGTAGGCAAGTTAAATTGTTCCTCAAAGTGTTCTTTCCAGCGTTCAAGGCGTCTATCCTGAGAGCTAATTAAGGAGCCATTTTTCTCAGAAATAGTCTCACTTATGAATTGCCTTTTCCCGCCCGATTCTGTGATGAGTCTAAAGAGTTGCCTAGTGTTGCCTATCGCCAATGCTTTTTCCATCTCTTTCGCCTTTGTCACCCACCACTGTTCACGGTCTTTGCGGAGACTTTTAGTAAGTTTCCTTTTGTGCAGCTTTCGCTCCTCATTGAATTCGGAGCTCGCCGGAATAAGTCTTCTAGCATCTATCAGTTCGGATGAGGCAGTCGAAATCCAGTGGTTTTTACTCACCTTTGGATTTGTCTTATTCACAGCTTTTACAGCTGTATCTATAGCTGACTGAATATTCTTCCAGGCTTCTCCAGGGTGAGCACAGCTGTCGGATTCAGATATGCGTTTAGCTAGTTCTTCCTCAAATAGGGATTTAGTTTCCTGATCGAGCTGGGGGCGTAATGGTTTTACCGCCAGCTGTTTCCTACGTCCGTTCAGTCGTAAGCACACACGAGCCCGGACCAGTGCGTGATCGGTATCTACACACGTGTTCCAGAAGGAGCGACAATCTCCTACCGACCCACGCCAACGATAGCTTATTGCTATGTGGTCTATTTGTGTCCAGCGTTGGTTTGATGATGGGGGTCGCCAGGTTAAACAGTGTCTCTCCTTGTGTTTAAAGTTAGTGCTTACAAGAAACAAATGATTATCTGAACAGAACTGTAGGAGACGGTCACCGTTGTCGGTTCGCTGGCACGGAACTCCATAGGTGCCACCGACATCCTTCTCAGATTGACACAATTTCCCTACTTGAGCGTTGAAGTCACCAGCTAGAACGACTATATCTGAGCGTTTAGCCTTTCTCACCAAACTAGACAGCTTTTGGTAGAACTCATCCTTCGTTTCATCCGAACTGCAGTCAGTGGGGGCGTAGGCGGAGATTACGAAAAGGCATCGGCGAGTAGTGCAGTCCTTTCTCCTTCTTACTGATCCGTTCAGACGGACAGCACACATTCGGCTATCTACTGGGATCCAGTCAAGCAATGTCTTTTCTGCCCTAGTACTCAGAGCTATCCCTACGCCAGCTAATCCCGTGAACTAGCTGTGGCATCTCCTGACACCCTCAAGGTGAATTTTGAAGATTCATCCTGTTGGCCAGGTGGGGTTAGGTGAATAACCACACTTGGGTCTTGTATGCGTGTTTCTGAAACACAACATACATCAATGGCTCGAGATGCCAGGGTCTTAGCTAGTGATGCTTGTTGTCCTATTTGGCAAAGTGTCCTTACATTAAATGCTCCTATATGAAATTGGTGGCGTGGCTTTAGGAGACTATCCGTGGTGGTTTTTTGGCTTTCGTCGTTTTTAGTGGACACAGAGTGAAGAGGGAGTGAGGAGCCATCAAGTAGAGGAGTTGCATCACTGGGGGAAGGTAAGGTAATAGAGATGAAGATGAAGACAAAGATAAGTGAGGATTAGAGAGGTTTTGTGTGCGTTTTGGATTGTGAGGGCGATTGTTACTTCCCGGCTGCCCACACCGTGGAAGTTGGTTGCGTGACCGCAGAGCCCAGGGGACAACTGCTTGTGGCCGGTCACACGCGGCCTGTTTTTGTTCGTTCTTCGTTGTTTTGTGTGCCTCAGTAGCATACTTATCACTCCCGCCCTGTGACACGGCAGCAGGAAGCGCGGTCGTTGTTAATCCGGGCCACGGCCGATCCGGCATGAAATTTTGTGAATTTGTTTGGATCATGGTATTGGATGAGGTAGCTGCTTTTTGTTTAACCGCTATCCAAACAACCTGCCTGGCATGGTAGAACCTCAAGAGACATAAGTCTCAGCCAGTATAGCTTGATTAGGTCATTGCGGTGTTCAAGCCCGACCACCACGTCAAGGTAGCAGCTTTCGGTCGGGCTATGCTATTACACTGAAGATCAACAAAGTACAAAGGATTTTTGTCAGGTTAATGTTTCTGTATGGTTGAGTGAATTGGTGCGAGTTGATAAAAGCACCATTTCCAATAAATTATTATAGACTTTCATCAAAACTTGTCCCCTTCACCATATACTGAAAAACAGATGGTCATGGAGGATAAGTAAGTAATAGGGGACACCAGGCAATCAGAGAATTAGCCAAGGACTATCTGTTGTCCAACAAATAAGCTAAATGAAGCGGAGATGGACTGCACACAGGCTGAAGAAACAATTACGTAGTAAAACACATTACGCCCATGAGTGGGAATCCAAAGGGGTTGGGTAGTTATAGGTGATGAGCAGGAAATGAAGGATTATAGGCAGTTGTGAAGCTACTTGGGAATGATAACAGAAAACCGAGTGAACTGGAGATGTGTTGCTGAAAGACAAAAAAGTGAATAGTAAGAACTTCTGGTTACAGGATTTCATCATGAGCTGACATTAGTTAGAGAACCATTGGAAAATCTGCAGAGAGTACTGTACAGCTGTTTCGCCCTAGTTTGGGACTTTCCAACAGTACGCACCCAACGGGGTTGTAACCCAGGACCTTCTGGTTACAAGGCAAGGTGGCTCGTAGACCATTAAGCCACTGGGAACCGATCCAATGGCTCATGAATTCTAACATCTGCCAATTCACGACATAGCGCAACCGCTAGCCAATGTCTTCGGCGAGTATTTGTCCTCACACCCGACCTGCTGCACCCTCCTGGTCACGACTTCCCAGGTTTTCCAATGGTTCTCTAACTAATGTCAGCTTATGATGAAATTCTGTAACCAATCAACCAAATCCCTACACACCAATACTTGAGTAAGAACTTCTGCAGATCATCTCTATCAACCTACCTACTGCTTATTACAGTATTTAGAAAATACACACTCTGACATCTAACAAGATACCATTATAAAATACTGAATTGGGCTCTATTTGTAACTCAATAAATGATGACTGAAGAAATACTTCCAACGAAAGTCAGTGGGTTCCTATATTACTATTATAACATTATTATTTCCATGGGTATCTGCTCCCTCGCTGTATTATTTGCTCCCAGTCTGGCTGGCACTCATTCATATCGCCTATAGGGATTTTGATGTCGCCATTTTGGGATGTTGTTCATTACTATTTGCAGTTTTCTATAAAAATCTTCCCTCTGTTGTTCCGCGCTGTGTGTAGGTGTGTAGCATTGGATAATTGTAACCTCCCTTCATTATCGGTTGAATTTTGCTGGCATAATCCTGGATCAAATTGGTTTCACCGACCAACCTTGCTGTGTTATTTAGCCTCTCCGATTCTAGCGAAGAATAAGATTGTTATTAGAATTTTTTGTATTTTTAATATTTTTTTTGTGCGTTGAAGTTTCTGTAGCAGTCTGATTGGTTTTGAGGTAGAATCGCTAGCCCCACGCCCGGGCTTGGGACCGGGTAGAAAACTAGCGAGGAAGTAAACTAGGCGACGTTGAATGTCTCGATAAACACGTGAAACGAACCAGTGTCCGAGTCAATGTAGTGCAACAGATCACCACATCATAAGAAATCATCTTAATTTTGAGAAAAACACACTTTGAACGGGTAAATTTTTCTAGGATCACCGATATATTTTTTTCAGTTTCTAGTGGTTTATCTAGAGTGTAGTTTAACCTACTCTATAAAAGAAAATTACCAGATATGTAGCGTCAGACTGTCGGGGGGTGGGGTGGAGGGAGCGACAAGAAAGGAACAGGTTGGACTGACAAGAAGAATCTAAAAGATCCGCATCTCATCGATGGTCTAATACCTACAGTAACACAAACTCGAAAACTTACAGGGGAAAACCAACAGTTTGTCAGAAAAAGCAGGCAGAGAAGACAACACTTCAGGCGAACATAGAGAAGTCAGTCAATTCTTCTATATGGATCAGAAACTTGGCGCTCACGTCACCAAAAGCCTTTCTGACACAGCCAGTTGTAGACTTTTATCAACAGCTCCCTTCACTGGCTCCATACTGAACAACAAATGGCTGTCGAGAAACAATTAGCAACAGGGAAGTCTGAAGACGAATCAACCAACAATCTATTGCTCAAGAAATATGTAAAAGAAAATGGAGATGGATTGGGTTGTACACATGCCATTGAAGGAACCGTCGGGTGACATCGCGTGCCAAGCAATCGCTCGAGTAGAAACCGAGTGCGAAACAACGAGTTGGGTTTGGGTACGAGGGTGAAATGGATGAGATCATGTGGGGAGGAGGAGGAGATGAGAGGCTATGAGCGATTGTGTGGCTAGGTGAAGAGGACTGCGGAAGCCCTATGTTCAACTCAGAAACCAAGGGAATACTAATAGTTTTGGTTTTGTAAGGATTAGTTATGTTTTACGAGTTGATCACGGATTGATATCAGTTAGAGAACCATTGATAACCAGCACTGGAGTACTGGACAGCTGCTGTTTCATCCTAGTTTGGGAATCATCGGCAGTACGCACCCACTGGGTTTCGAACCCAGGACTTTCCGGTTACAAGGCAAGCTCGCGTTTCCTGAGTTCTAGTGAGAAGTCGTGACCAGTGAGGTCCAATTAGATGTCACGTGTGTGGATGGATGTCCCAGCAACGACAATGGTTGGGGTCACGCTAAATCACGAATTGGTTGAAGTTAGAATTTATGAGCCATTGAATCGGGTCCCAGTGGCTGAATGGTATACGAGCTTGCCTTGTAACCGGAAGGTCCCGTGTTCGAATCCCAGTGGGTGCGTACTGCCGATGATTCCCAAACTAGGATGAAACAGCAGCTGTCCAGTACTCCCTGGTTTTCAATGGTTCTCTAACTGATATCAATCCGTGATCAACTCGGAATACTAATAATAATAGTAACACAGAAAAGTAACGTTTAGGTATAAAAAAACATTGTTAATAAATGATGATATACAGACTAAATATTAATACCTTCATTAGCTTTTATAAATTCTTTTATGCATGTTGCTTGAAGTTCAGCTTCAGATTCTAATTTTGATACACGATCAGCTTGATTCACTCGGCCTAATTCTTCATTAGCGTTTAGCAAGTGTCGTATACGTGACATTAATGACTTCCCAATTGAACTATAAAATAGAACATCATAAGTTAGTTTTTAATATTAAAGCTTTAAGAGAGTTATTTCATCATATCAGGAAACTCTGGGTGTAAATCAGAAAGGCTTCGTGTGCTTATAGAAGTATGTGGGCGGTTGTTACTTCCCGGCTGCCCACACCGTGGAAGTTGATTGATTCTCCGGGTACCTTAAAAAGAAAGAGGGTCAGTGTTGCGTGACCGTAGAGCCCAGGGGACAACTGCTTGAGGCCGGCTGGTCACACACGGCCTGTATGAACTGGTTTCTTGGTTTTGGTTCCGTATTAGTAAACTTACAACAGGTTACGGACCACCGTAGGGTAAGTCGGGATGTACAGTATTTGGAGTCGACTTTTTCTAACCCCCTCTATCCAGAGTGGAGAGACAGCATAGCTGGCTGGTATTCTGGTCATCTGAGGGAAACACCTCACTGCTGTCCCCCAGCAGTACAACTTCGCCCTCAGACCCCAGCATAGTGTAAGAGAGATTCTTACACAATTCCGGTAACTGCTTTTAGTCTAATCACTATCCTAACAACCTTCCTGGCATGGTAGGACCTGCAGGAACATTGGCTCCAGCCAGTGCAGCTTGTTGGGTCATCGCGATGTGCAAGCCCGGCGACCACCACGTCAAGGTAGCGGCTTTCGGTCTCTATTATGCATTTCTCCTAGTTTCTTCTCCTGCTTTGTGTGCTATATGGAGTGTGGCGACTCGAACTGTCGCACATCGGTGCAAAGTTCTATGTCGAAAACAGACAGACAGACAGAGAGACTGGGAATAAATCTACTCCATAGTTATCAATGATTAGACTTGTTGTTAACTCAGGTGACATCATCTATTTTAGTCAACCACAGTATCGTGTGATGCGTGACAGTCGGTTATTTTGATAGAACACTAGGTAATCAGGAGGAAGTTCTACCTGACATAGGTTTCGTACTAATTAGCACTCGTCAACACTGCGTATCTGCAACCTCCAAGGAATTTATGTCTCTTCTGAGATTCGAACCAGCGTCATCTAGTGCCTTAATCAGTCAGAGACTTTGCCATTGAGTTATTAAGGCTCGCGCGATTGACATCCTCCTATAAGACTGTATTGGATATTTTTGATTGGACACTAGTCAGTAACTAGTGTAATGTGTTGTGTCTAGTCCTATCTGTGGTGCAGACTGAATTCTATCAGTCAAGCTTGCAATGTGGCCACCATGCCACTAGGCGGCTCGCCACCACGGGCGCATTGCACCAAAGATAGGACTAGACAAATTACACTAGTTACTGACTAGTGTCCAGTCAAAAAATATCTAATCCTGTGTTCGTTACAGACTGAATGCTATCAGTCAAGTTTGAAAACTTGTGTCAAATCAAAATATCCAACACAATCCTACAGGAGTTCAATCGCTAGCCCGAATAGACTAGTGGTGGTAACGTCTCGGACTGACCACAGCATTGGGTGATACGAGTTACAATCTCAGAAGTTGAAATGAGTTCCCTCAAGGTCGCACATACGCCTATCGTACTGACTAGTGAGTGCCAACATCCACGAAACCTAGGTGAGTCTGGGCTTCCTGCCGATTACTTCCAAAATTCTAATAATAACGATTATTGATTAAGAAAACCAAAATAAAGGTATCATATTATAATAAATTAATTAGAATTCAGTTACCGGAGATAGATTTATCATGTACAGCCAAGCTATCAGCTCCCCTAAGTTGTGTAAAGAAGGTTGATGATACAACCCAAAGTTGCCCAGGCTGAAGCAGATGAAACAGAATTCAAGCTCAGGTTCAATTTAGCTGAAAGCTGAGGAGTCACGTCTCAAACACTGATAATTACTGAGATAGATAAACAGGTGTTTCCCCTTTCGTTAATATAACTGTCACCCATAATATGCGAATCTATCGAAGCTATTCTTGCTATATTCCCTAAAAAAGTTACACTTAGGGACTATTGACTTAACTATCTACATGACAAATGAAAACTTATAGTTTGTGCGGGAGCTGGGATACTGCCCAGACACCTAGATAGAAGCAGGTGGTTCTCTTAACTTAAGGGGCCACTCAACAAGCCTTTGATTTGAAGTTCACAAGTACAGTAGTGTCCGGAGCTAAGTTCCTATTGTTACCGGTGACTGAAACAGGTCTATGCACCATTTGATCCCTGCAGATTATGGAACGTACATGCATCGTAAGGTTTGCAGTCAGAGTTTTCCAGCTCCCTAGGTAGACTTGTAACATGTCCATCAGTCCGGTGGTAAGGGCCAGAAGTTCATATTTACTCCTTCACTTTAGTAAGAAACACCGCGTGAAGGTAGTCGACAAGACTTTCCTGGTAGAGGCTACGGGTGCACATGACCTACGGAGAGCATTAAAAGAGGAAGGCCGAAGTCTACCCACCCTCGACCGAACCAGGTCGTTCATGACGTCGTGTGCTGGGACTGAAACACATCCAACTATTTTTAACTAAATATTCTAGATAGGTATACTTTTTTTTCTTATAGCTTGAAACCCCACAATATCTTTGGTACATGTATGTGATATCGGTAGCCTAAATTTTGCAGGCCGACCATTGATATCAGTGTGCATGCATCGGCAGGGGACCGAACTCCGAACCATTTGCATGGTCGGTGAGAGTCCTAACCGCTGTGCCACCGACGCACATACACAGAAATGTAAATTGACTACTGAAATGAAATGCGATCCAGTAGCTTATTGAAGCAATGCTTCACATTTGTGTTTCCACCCCCTATTGTCTAAGCCAAAAATAGGCTTTACTAAGAGTTGACCCAAGTCACTTCTTACTCAATTCAATCGGTCAATTTTTATTATAAAAAACGGTAAGTAAATTGTAGGAAATCTCAGGAACTTTAGAGATTAGCTGTTGCTTAAATTTATTTCTACCTCAAACAATGAAATATAAATAGTCCCAGGTTGGCAGACTGTACTGAATGATGACTGAAAACAGTGAGATAGAAGTTTGAGAGGCAGTCATCTCGAATTCTTTCACCTGAAGATCAACCAGCTATGCTATAAGACCCCAACACAATTGTTAACCAGATTATCACTTCACACACACACATACACAACCACCACGAGTAATGCTCAGAGCTATCATGTGAATGAATGGTAACCATTACGGATTATAATGAGTTGAAATTTAGGTTTATAGAGTAATAAAATGTTATTCAACAGCTTAAAGTTAGGTAATCGCCTATTTGGTAACTGCTTTATAGATCTTTCAGCCTCTTGAACTCCGGTGACTGTTAAAATCAACGTTATTGGACTAATATTAAAAATGAGAAAACTTGGGAGTATTGGACAGCTGATTCGTCACACTAGTTTGGGGCTACTCTTTACCAGTACCCATCTACCCCACTGGAGTTCGAACCCAGGACTCTACAGTTGCAAGGAGAGCTCGTAGACCATTAAGCCAATGGAATTCATGGCCATTGGATCAGGTCCCAGTGACTTTTCATAGGCTACAAGCTATCCTTGTAACCGGAAAGTCCTGGGTTCAAACCTAGGTGGGTGTGAATTGATTACTGAAGAGTTCCAAACTAGGCTGATGAAGCAGCTGTCCAGTACACCAATGCTGGCTTTCCAATCGTTCTCTTACCGATGTCAGCTCATGATAAAATCCCGTCACCAATCAAGTCAAATACCCGCAAACCAACACTTGAATAATATGTTTTTAAAAAAAAGGGAAATTTACCTTTCTGGCGAAAATCTCCATGCCAACATATCATCATTACTTTGTCTATATCGATTTTGTGCTTCTATTGTTGTTTCACGTAACTTTTTATAAACAAGATTTACAGATGGTTCAAAAAAGTGTTTCAATGAGATCAGAGGATTCGCATCAATAGTAAAAGAGTTTGAGGAGGATGAAGTATGATGCTCATTTGTGGTTGTCGTCTGCAATTTACTTAATTTAGCTCTTTTCATTGGCTTTGAAAGGAAAATAAAAGGAATAAAAAGAAAGAGATTAAATAGATAAAATTAGATTTGATTGGATGGACAATTTCATCATGAGCTGACATCAGTTAGAGATCCATTGGAAAAACACCTGGGAGTACTGGACAGCTATTTCGTCCTCATTTGGGACTCTTCATCAGTACGTACCCACCGGGGTTCGAAACCAGGACCTTCTGGTTACAAGGCAAGGTGGCTCGTAGACCATTAGGCCACTGGGACCCGATCCAATGGCCACTCCTTGAATTCTAACTTCTGCCAATTGACGATATAGCGCCTTGTAACCAGAAGGTCCTGGGTTCGAACCCCGATGGGTGTGTACTGAGAAAGAGTCCCAAAGTAGGACGAAACAACTGTCCAGTACTCCAAGGTTTTCCAATAGTCCTCTAACCAATGTCAGCTCATGATGAATTCCTGCAACCAATCAACCAAATCCCTAAAAACTAATGCTTGAAAATTAGATTTGATCTGATCTGAAATAGATTAATAATGTAGAAATTTGTCCACGAGAGTTCATAAAGATGTTCGAATCTAATTCCTAGAATGGGATTTTCTATAACTCAGCGGCTATGAGCCACACTTATTGTGTCTGAAGGCAGAAGACACTACTCAGCTGATCAGCCTGAATTAGGTAGAGCGGGATTCGAACCCGAGAGACACTGACTGAAAGTCGACAGTTTAAGTCAATAAGCCACAGAGAGAAAAGCAGTAGATGAATAATGAGGATTCAATCCTGATGCAAAATCTGAAGAAGCATATATATTTGAGTTGCTGTAAATGATTTTCATTAATTTTATTAACGGCCCGTCTCTAACCACAAAATTAGACCCAACAGTCTTTAACATAATACACACATAAAGCCTTAATTCAAGCTGGATTCAGGAAAGGCAAATCATGTGCTGATCAAATTCCAACTTCACGCATTATCATATAACGAAGCATTGAATGACAGTAAAATCTCTCTCTCTCTCTCTACGTCAATTTCATCACCTGCGGAAAGGCCTTGTATAGCGTTGACTAAGAATTAATTTGGCGACAACTTCAACACTATGGCGTGCAGTATTCCCATTCAGCAGCTTTCCGACAATGTTACTTGTCAGGTGATCCAAAAAGTAAAACTCAAGGAAGCCTTTGAAATGAATACAAGAGTAAGACACGGATCCTCTACTATCACCGATGATATTCTTAATTGTGGTAGACTGGATTATGTGTCAGACTATGTGTGGGGAGTGAGGAGACAGGAATACGCGGGACTGATAAGAAAAATCTAGAAGACCTGAATTCCGCAGATCACTTATGTCTAATATCACACAAACTCGAAAACTTATAGGTGAAAAACAATAAACTAGCTGAAGAGGCAGGCAACAAAGGTAGGAGACTTGCAGTGAACATAGAGAAGACGGAAGTGATGAAAATAACCAACTAACAACAACCAATCACTATCAATGGAGTAAATTCGAAAGAGGTCACTTCCTCTACTTATCTAGGCAGCATAGCTTCAACTACAAGCGCCAAGGATGAGGATGTCAAAATCATAATCCGAAAGACGAAGTACACTTTTATCACTCTGAAATCAGTTTGAAAATCTTCTGCACTCCACCTCAGCAATAAACAACAAAATTCCGATTCTGTTCAACACCAATGTTAAGTCAGTCAGTCAGATTTTCTACATGAGTTAAAAAGCATTTCCAATAAGATACAGTAGACTTCCATTAACAGCTGCATTGGATGACTCCAAAATGTGAAGGGCAGATAGTTGGCCAGCTAGGAAGAATTAATTACAGAGAAACTCTAGCTGGGGACAAACCAACCTAGGATTGATTGCTCAACAAACATGCAGAAGAAGGTGGAGATGGTACAGATACACGCTACTGAGAAGACCATTGAGTGCAAATTAATCAGCCGTTGATATTCATCAGCTATGTCATGTAGAGTTAACTTAGGATTTTGCTCTAGCTGATTGAGCAGTCGAGTTCGGATATCTGTGAAACGAGGAGATTGAAGACTGCATATGAGAATCAAGGCTTTGAATTGATCATCTGTTAAGGACCTGAGTCGAAATCTCTCACATTCTCGGTTGACTGTGCCAACGTGAATAAGAAAATCGTCATTTTCATTCATTGTCAGCTTGAGGAAACGATAACGTATGCTGAATAATGAGGAGTGATCTCCAAAATGTTCACGCAGCAGCTTTATTGTATCATCGAAACACTTGTCACGTGGTTTTTGGGTAAAATTAGGTTGCAGTACCTTTCATATTCTGCGGGACCCAATTTACATAATAATACTTGCACCTTCCAAGCATCGTCTTGAGAGGCGAGATCTACTGTGAATAAATCCTCATATCGTTGATACCATGTGTCAAAAGTGACATTAGCATCTGGATTATAATTGAACTGTGAAATACTATTCACAATTCCGTCGACAGATGGTAGCATGGTATGGTTCGGATTGCTTGAAGGTGAAGCTGGACCAGTCTGTTTGTTAATGAACATTTCCATTAATTTCATTTGTTGTTCAAATAGTAATTCCAATTTAGAATAATCCATAGTTTTTCCCGTCGTCAATTATGTTATGTACTCATCGAGTAGTTAATAGTCCTGACGCGGAAAGAGGGAAATCAGAAGACCACCAGGTTTACGATGATACTTGTATTTTCCAGACAAGGAAAATAAGTGTCACACAAGATTGCGAGTGAAATGGTACGTAGTGTGAGAAACGTGGGAACAAGTATCCAGTACAAAAGTATGTATGAAAATGACTAATATACATGTACCAATAAATAGACAGTCTTAACATGATTGGTTGTAACGTCACGTGACAACAAGGCCATACATGTTTATTTAGTTAGTGGACAGACAAAAGCATATCGTCAGTTATAATGAAATATCGATCCATATACACATAGCAAAATATAACAAACTGTCAAAAACAAAACACATCATGTGGATACATATCAAGGAGATCGTACAAAAAAGATAAAATGATAGACTATGGGCAATCATGTAGCCAATTTAGAAGGACGGCAGAGAGGAGGATGAAATAGAGATGTGATAATGAAGACTCATGTTCCACTCACAACCACCCAGGGGAATAATAATAATATTTGTAAGGAGAGACCGAGACCATCAATCAAATAAAGCTGAAACATGCAGATGAAAACACTGTTTTAAAACACATAAATTAACCTACCAGTATATATTGCATTTGAGCTAGACTAAAATCTGCATTAATATATCTGGCTAAATATGCCTCCAACTGTTCATGATACTTCTTCTCTGTTGAATAAATTTCTTTTTCTATAATAAAAAAAATCAATAAAATGCTATAGCAACAACAACAACAACATCGACGAACCAAGATTTAAATTTTCTTCTTCTAATTGTCGAAGTTTTTCTTCAAGATTACGTATTTTGCTGTCTTGATTTGTATCGCTTCTATTATTTTTTGTGAAAAAGAAAAGAGTTGAATTATTATATAATACACAATTGAAATTAATAATAATACCAATAATAATAATAATAATAATAATCTTACATATTGTCCGTATTGTTCTCATCTAATGCGCATTCATCACCGTCTGATGATAATTTGACTTTAACTGTTGTATGATCTATCATCTGTAAAGGGAGTGTAAAATAAATGAATACGATAAGAATTATACCAAATAATCTAAAAACTACATTTTTTCTAGGTAAGAAAATATATATGGTAAAAGTCAATCTGAAAGAAGAATATCCTTTTCAATAATTTCTCCTCTTCAGGTTCTTACAATTATAAAATATAATATAACTGTTGTCGTTACAACAATGAGAGCCAGTTATGCGGCGGCGGATACATTTTTTAACGTAGAATACCAGATTAGTAGTTATGGGGTGTCAAAATATATAGTCGTATTTCAGTGTGACAAACGTGCTCTGAGCTGAAATCGATTACAAAATATTTCGGTGAAATGGGAGACAATGTCGTGGTGATTAATCATAATAGATTTGTAGAGTGTGGGATAGGAAAATTGACAAGTAAGTCAGTTCAAGGTTATAAAAGGTGTCAGGTGATGAAGTGGCTAGTACAAAGTGGTCTGAGTTAAACAAGAGATAGTAAGACTGAAATGGGAAGGTCATAATGAAATATCGAATGTGTGAAATGAAACAGGCGGAGGAGTATATTAAGAAAAGAGATAATATCAATAATAATAAGTCAGGATAGTATAAATGGGAAATCCAATAGTATTTGAGAAAATGTTTGCACGAAGGGTATAAATTATGATGAATAATAATACTTGTAACAATAAACAAAGAAAGAAAGAAAAACTAAGAAGGTTTGGGGGAAGGAGCACTCTTGATGAGAAGAAGAATCATCAATTCAAGTTTGCCCACGATAGGAACAGCGTCTGGACGTGTTCCTTTTGGATACAAAGTCCCGGTTTAGTCGATCTTATTGCAACAGCTTCAGCTCTGTGTGTAGGAGACGTAAGCGAACTTTACATGATAACGATTTCGGAATTCGGTATATAAGTGCATGAAAAGCTCGATCCTGTCACACTTGGTCGATACTGGACATCGCATCGATGTCAACACAACTTTCAGGGTTATATACCGAATTCCAAAGTCATTATCATGTACAGTTCGCTTACGTCTCCTACACACAGAGCTGAAGCTGTTGCAATAAGATCGACTAAACCGGGACTTTGTATCCAAAAGGAACACGTCCAGACGCTGTTCCTATCGTGGTCAAACTTGAATTGATGATTTTTCTTCTCATCAAGAGTGCTCCTTCCTCTTAACCCTCTTCGTTTATTTCCTTTACTCATTATTACAAATATTACTATTACAATTATTATTACAACGATTATCATTATTATTCGTCATAATTTATGCCCTTCATGTAAACATTCCCTCAATACTATTGAATTTTTATTTATAGGGACTTATCATTAGTGATATTATCTGTTTTCTCAATATATGCCTCCATCTGTTTCATTTCACATATTCGTTATCTCATTGTGAACCTCTCATTGCAGTCTTACTATCTCTTGTTTAACTCAGACCACTTTGTACTAGCCACTTCATCACCTGACACCTTTTATAACCTTGAACTGACTTACTTGTCAATTTTCCTATCCCACACTCTACAAATCTATTATGATTAATCACCACGACATTGTCTCCCATTTCACCGAAATATTTTGTAATCGATTTCAGCTCAGAGCACGTTTGTCACACTGAAATACGACTATATATTTTGACACCCCATAACTACTAATCTGGTATTCTACGTTAAAAAATGTATCCGCCGCCGCATAACTGGCTCTCATTGTTGTAACGACAACAGTTATATTATATTTTATAATTGTAAGAACCTGAAGAGGAGAAATTATTGAAAAGGATATTCTTCGTGTTCAGATTGACTTTTAATTCATATGGGAATATTTCACACTATCATATATATATATATATATATTATATATATATATATTCTCAAACCAAGTTCACTTTTAACAGTTTGAAAAAAATTGGGCATTGGGTATACGATATTCATCATAATAAAGGTCTTCTTGTATTTCCCAATGAACGGAAAAGAGAAGAACGATATTGTTGTGTTTTACTGACATCTCGCTATTTAATGATGACGAATACTGACATTAAGTACGTTCGAAAATGCATTCCGAAGGACGTGGACCTCAACAGTTGTCATTCCATATAGAGCGGAGACATCAGACGATATCAGAAGAGAACTCGATACGATCTACATCAGAGTTTTATTCAAAACATTAGACACACTGAGAAACAACCTTGTCCATATAAAAGACCGAATCCCTAGAGATTGTCTATCTAATTGTGTTTAAAAATAAAATGCTTGGAATGTGATGCGATATACATCGGACAAACATCGCTACAGAGAAATCAAAATCAGAAGAAATGAACACCGTAGAGCATCTGTTTGTCAATCGAGATATCCAGTTAGTGAACTAGATGAGCTTGAAAAATCATCAGCTATAGCTCGTCTACACTCTATAGAATCAGGCCACAAAATTGATTTTGACAATAGTGAAATAATCCAGAAAAAGCATTTCAGAAAACACAAAGAACGTCTAATACCAGAAGCACCTTATATCATCAAGTGGAATCAAAATTGCCTGAACAGGAATGATGGAGTAAAACAGAATTCGACGTGGTGACAACACCCCCCTCCTCCATGAAGTGACAAAATCAACCCGAGTGTCATGAATGTGTGCGTCGGTGGCACAGCGGTTAGGACTCTCGCCAACCATGCACATGGTCAGTCGATCCCCTGCCAACGCACACCCGATATCAATGGTCGGCCTGCAAAATTTGGACTACCGATATCACATGCTGGAAATTCCATACTTGTACCAAAACTACGGTGTGGAATCAAGCCATAACCAAAAAGATTTCATTATATAAACACACGCTGTTTTTATACTTTTACACACTTAACAAATCCAACAATCTACACCTGGTTTTGTTATCTTTACTAATTGGCCAACTTGACAACGCAAAAGTGACCCCATACTGAGGGACGATAATTAAGTTGTTATATATATATATTGAGATTTTGTAAATTTTCTTTTAATAATACTTTGATAAAGCTATTAGCAGCATTAAATAGTGAGACGTCAGTAAAAACGATATCGTTTCGTCTTTCATTCATTGGGAAATACAAGAAACCTTTATTACAAGGATGCATATATATTTTAAGTATATTATTACTTGAATTATTGTAACTCTGACCGGTTAGCTTCATCGCAGAACTTTGCACAGATGTGTAGCAGTTCCAGTCGCCACTCTCCCTCCATATACCACACAAAGTAACACGAGAGTAAAGAGACATTTGAAAGGCAGATGATAAACAGAAGTGTGAGGGAAAAACAATAGTAGTATTATGGAAGAACAATAGAGTTTTATTGCATTTCTGGACTTGGGTATCCAACGAGATAAAGACGGCAAAATCATAAGATATATACACAGAAAAGAGACCTGGAGGGCGGTTTATCTTAACTTCAAAAGCTTCTGCCCTATAAGTTACAAAAAAGGACTGGTGACAACATTATTTTATTGTGTGAGGAAACTGTGTTCAAAAGAAAAGACTGAAGAAGAGCTATCCATTGTGGAGAAATGCCTACGCGACAACGGTTACCCACAAAAGTTAATCGACAAGTATGGGAGACGTCATGTTGAAAAAGTGAAAAGCAGTACAGTAGATAAAAAGCCTATCTTTCTGCAGCTTGCATTCAAAGGTGATGATACTGCTAGTAGGACAAGATGCAGACTGAACGCTGCCCTGAAAAGAATATATCCAGCCACCAAGCTTGTATGTGTCTATCAAACAAATAGTTGTTTGAGACAATCAAAAGTGGACAAATACCAACCTCATGTTACCTCCAACTGTGTCTACCAATTTACATGTACGTACCAAAGCACATACATTGGAAGAACAGAGAGAATGGTTAGTGTCCGCATTTATGAACACATACCAAAGAACCTGAGACTGAAAGGTCCGCAAGCATTAAACAGTGCGACTGCTCGTCATCTATTGGACACTGGTCATATTGTAGACAACCTGAAGTCGTTCAAAATAATCAACAAGCAAAAGAAACCTAGCTAGCTACGCTTTGCTGAAGCAATCGCCATCACTTATTTATGCATCAAAGAACTGCTCATCAAGACACTGATTGATAACAAGTCTCACACAGAACTCAGGTCAAAAGGTGGACGCCTGCCATTTATGTACGATCTGCCAAAAATTCATAAAACTAATGTGCCCTTAAGACCCATATTATCAATGATAAACTCACTATGCCACAAACTAGCTCGATGGCAAGCTGACTCATTCAAGCCAATTCAACGGAAATTCGAAAATCATAGCTTGTATGACACCTTCTAATTTTCTGAAGAAGTCGATCATGTTGATATATCAAATAAACTAGTGGTGTCATACGACGTGACTGCCTTATTTACAAGTGTATCACCAGTGATGGAAACAACAGACATTATTTGTAGACAAACAGATCTATTGCCATTACCGGAAACAGGCATGAAGTACTCGCTAATTCCTTGCACAAAAGACATCCAATTCGAATTCAACAACCAATTCTACTGACAAGCTGATGGGATCGCCATGGGTTCACTTCTAGGACCTATTCTAGCCGACATCATTATGGGTTATCTCGAACAGACGCAACTGAGTGACGCTACCAATGACACAATATACTATCGACGATATGTCGATGATACGTTTGTTGTTTGTAACGACGAGTCAGGCCTCCGTATTATTTGACTGCCTTAATGAAATCCAACCAAACATTAAATTCACCATGGAATATGAACACAACGACGAGTTCAATTTCCTGGACGTAAATGCAAAAAGAAGAAACGATGGAACGGTTGAAAAATCCATCTACAGAGAAAAGAAACCTGGAATGGGCAATATCTTCACTACAACAGTTTCTGTCCTATAAGCTATAAACGGGAATTAGTAAGGACACTGTACGACAGAGTCAGGAGGTTATGTTCACCTAACAAGGTAGGCGAAAAATTAAGCTTTGTTGAAAAATAACTCAGGGAAAACGGGTAACCAAAGGGATCTATCCTAAAGTACAGCAAAGAAAAAAATGAGAAAGCGAAGTATCCTACAGCTGAAAAGAAGAAATCGTTCATTTGCCTCCCATACAAAGGAGAAGCAGTATCACAAAAGATTGACAAGAGGATGAAAGGAGCAATAAAGAGATGCTTCCCTGCAGCCAAGCTGGTGACACTATACAGCACTACACGCTCGATAAGCCAATAGAAAGTGGATAAGTACCCTGCTGATGTTACCTCCATACATTTACGTGCACCTGAGGCAGCAAGTACATTGGGAGGACAGAGAGAAGGGCTTCTGTCCGAAAGCTGCTACCTTGACGTGGTGGTCGGGCTTG